CCTGAGGTTAAAGGGAGGCTGTGATCTCAGCAGGGAAGCTGCCTCAGTGGCCCCTATGGTCTGGAAGCCTGTGACTCTGGCAGAGATGTGCAGGGTGGAGGCATAGGGCACTGCCAGGGCTGTGATGGATGTGGCCATAACCCAAGGCCTATCTCCCTTGCATTCCTTCTCCCTTACATGGTCCTTTGTGAGGAGGGGGGGTGTGATGGTTGGTGTGTATGTGTGTGCGTGTGTCACATAGGACTGGCTTTCAGGAGATTTGGACTCTGGTTCCATCCTTGCACCCCTGGAGCCATTTCACTTCTGGGCTTCAGTTTCCTCATCTATAAAATGAGGATGATTGTTTGTTTGCTACAGTCTCCTTTGTTACAAAAAACAAAGTGACATGGGGGTGGGTGGGGGCACAGGTGCACAGCCACTAGTCCTGGGCTCTGGCCCCTGTTCCGTCACACTGAGCTGAGTGACTGCAGTCACTCCACCTTTCTCGGGCTATTTCCTCATTTGCAAAGCCAGGGGTTAGCACAGACGGATTGTTTTATTACCTTTTAAAAAATATCAGTGATAACTTTATAAAAAATAAAAATCTTATGGGAATCCCAATCTACGATATAGAGCAGATGAAAGGGAGGCTGCTCTGGTTCAAGGTGGGCTGCCTGGGCCTGTGCTGCTCAGCCTTGCCCCTGTCACCTGGCTCTTCTCCCTCCACATCTCTGAAGGCATCCTCGGAGACCTAGGGCTTCTGGGAATGTGGATGGGGACCCAGCGAGCAGGTGATTTCGTGGACCCCTCCCCTTCCCCCGCCCCACCACTTGATCTAGGTCTAAGCTCTTGGGAATCCCTCCCTGTCCCCGGGCCACCTCACACCCACACTGGGCTCTACCGCAGGCCGGCCCATCAAGGTGAGAGGAGCAGGCGCGCAGGTGCCGCACCTGCAGGGGCTGGATGCCGCTCGCGATAAGGTCGGAGATCATGCGCACCAGGGCCCTCTTCTTCGGGTCCTGAGGCAGGAGTCGCGGAGCAGGTCGAGTCTCCTCAAGGTACTCGATGATGGCCAGCTGTCCAGAGGGAGTGGTGAGGGGCTTGCAGTGAGGGGAGCATGGAGAGGGACCCCCCCAACAGAGGGGACGGCCTGCAAACTCCTTCTCCCTACAAACTCCTCCCCCTCCCTGCAAACTCCTCCTCCACCCTGCAAACTCCTCCTCCACCCTGCAAACTCCTCCTCCTCCCTGCAAACTCCTCTTCCTCCCTAAACTCCTCCTCCTCCCTGCAAACTTCTCCTCCTCCCTGCAAACCCCTCCTCCTCCCTGCAAACTTCTCCTCCTCCCTACAAACCCCTCCTCCTCCCTGCAAACTCCTCCTTCTCCTCGCCCTACTCTGCTCAACCCTGTGAAGCCCAGGCTCTCCCAGGGGGAACGAGCTCTTTCTGGACCCTCATCCTGCAGAACTTGGTTCCCCATATGCTTGAGTCTCCCTTCACTCCCCAAAGCAACCAAGCAACCTCCTCCCTGGGACAAAGATTTGTGGTATCCCCTGTCAGAGCCGGGTGCCCTGGCCATACACAGGCAGGGGAGAGTTGCCAGGCTCTCCCCTTCCCGGCACCACTCCCACAAGGGGCTCCCAGGCCCTGCACTCACTGACTGGCCAATGGTGATGCCATCTATCTTCAGGGCTGGCACCTGCTTCATGGGGTTAAGTGCCTGGAATTCCTTGGAGAACTGTGGAGAGAAGATCCTGGTGGGCTGGGTGGCCTGGCCTGAGGTGCCTAAAGCAGAAGCAGGCAAGCAGGAAGACCCCAGGCCCACTGCCCACCCCAGCACCTCCCTCTCCTAGGCCCAAGGTGATGCCTGGGCAGTCTGTGTAGTATCCCAACCTCCAATGGCTGCAGAGCTACAGGCTTCCTCCCAATGGCCTGGCTCTGTGCACCTCACACACTGGCCACCTAGGTACATGCAGAGGGCCCAGCAAGGAGCAAGGATCCTCTCACTATTCACCCCCTAGGGTCAGACACTGTGGCACAGAGCCTGAAGCCTGGGTCCTTCCCATGGCTCCTCTTGCTGCACAGCTTGCCACCCATTCCCAAGGGAGAGCCAGCAGCCTCCTTTGCCATGGGACCTCTTGGGGTATAATCTGCACCCTCTGTTGGTTTCTCTCCAAGGCCTCCAACTCCCACATTGTGGCCAGCGGGCAGCCTCCTTACCTGCTGGCCCCCATCCTTTATGAGGTTGACAGGCAATGTTTCATAGTCGATGCCCTTCAAGGCCAGAGCTAGGAGAGAGCCAACAGCAGTCAGGGGACAGCCTCTGGCTCCACTTCCCAGGGCGACATGAGACTGCAGAGGGAGTCTTCTTCCCCACACTGTTAGGTGGTCAAGGCCCAGCATGGCTCTCTTCCCTTCTTTCTGGCTTCCTTGGTCAGCTCCCCCTCCCCTAACCCAGGTCCATGACGCTTGCCTCTCTTGCCCTGGCACAGTGGGCTCTGGAGGACAGCAGGGAAATGTCCTCCTCATCTCTGCCCCCTCCAGGGCCTTAAACGGGCTTGCAGGGCTTTGTGTTGGAGACATGCGATTATTCCCTCATGAAGGCATCTAAGGGCCAAGGGAAGGTGCTCACGTGACCATAGAGTGCACACACATGCAGAGGTCGCTGTTCACAGAAGGATCATTTTGTAACCCATCTTCTCTGCTATCCACTACGCATTACAAACATAGCATCTGCTGTGACCCCCAGTGACCAGATTTCCTCTCCATCCCCTCTGATGATCTCCCCTGGGACAGTGAGGGTAAAAACCCTCAGTCAACCCTAGTGTGTGTGTGTACACACACTTGTGCATTACATATTGTGACAGCCAGTCTCAGGCAAGGGCACAAGAACTAGGGGAGGGGGACGAGATGTGTCACAGTCTAAAGAAAGCCAGGGAGACAAGGGGCTCCTCCTCAGCACTGGTCAGCTCCATTCTGGAGAAAGTGGTTGGCCAAAGGGAGAGACCATGTATGCAGGCCCTACGGAGACAGCACTCCTGCTACTCTGGGTCTGGCCCAGCCAGGGCAGAGGCTCTGGGCCCTGAGAAGGCATCTTTTTGTGTCCTCTGGCACCCCAGTGCTCTTGCCTACTGATGCCAGCAAATACCAAATGCCTGTGGGGTGGGGGACAGGTCACGGAAGATGGCTTTCCAGTTAGGGCCAGCTTCAGATTTCATCACATTCATTTGCTAGCTTCTGAAGCTTTGGTCAAGTAACTTCCTGAGCCTCAGTTTCCTCATCTGTACAATAGGGACAACCTTCCTCCTAGAGTTGTCAAGGTTTAAATGGAATTAAGGCAAACAAAAGCACTTAGCATATTCTCCCTCAGCATGAGCTGCAAGGACTGACCTTTGCCGAGGGCTGTGTTAAACTGAGGGAGGGAAGGATTAAGCTGGGGTGGACAATGACCAGTTCTGTTTAATTTGCCAGATCAAATAAGATAATAACTGAGGAAGGCCAGCTGTTTCCTGCCAGTTACCAAGGTCCTCAAATTTGTGAGTCTGCTTTAAGCATGGTTGCTAAGGAGCTTTGGAGGGCAGGGTGGGAGGCAGCAGACCCAAGAGAAAAACTACCCCCCTGCCTGGCACCCCCACTCTCTTCTTCCTAGGTGGAGGTGCCATTCAGTGCTGAGGGCTCCAGGAGACCAGGGATGCTGGTTGCTGGGGGTGAAGCCCTGTCTGATAGAGCACACCTCTGTCCCAGGCGATCTTTCTCACCGAGGGCTTCCTCCACCCTATCCCACCCTACTAGGGCTCTTGGTGGAGGCACAGCTCTTACCAATTCGAACTCTCCAGGAGCAGGAGCTTCGGAAATAGGAATAGAGGATGGGCTGAGGAGAGAGAGGACGAGGTGTTTATTAACCCATGCTCAGTGGGTCCCAGCCCCAGGAGCCCACTGGAGAGGAGGCACCAGCCCCCAGCCAGGGGATCCAAGCCAGCACTATGTCTTCCCGTCCAACCAGGCCTCCTTTCTCCTTGCGTCTGGGCAACTCAGGTCAGAGTCAGAGCTATCTGGGTCAGAGGCCTCAACTGTGCTGTCGTGCATTCCTGAGGCCTGACAGGCCCACCCAAAGGACAGCCAGCCTGCAAGAGCCCTCCTTACCTTGCCAGACTCAGTCATGGTGCTGTGGTGACCCTTGGCCTCATGAGGAATGTTCCCTGTCACAGAGCAGCAGGGCAGGGGGAGGGATCCTACAGGGGTAGATCTCATGAGCCAATGGGGAAGCTGCACTAGGCAGGCGTCAGGGAGACTTTGACTCAGGTCAGAAGGGGCATCTTTTTCCAACTTGTGGGAGGCTCCTTATGCTCCTGGTGGAGCTAGGTTTGGTGTCCTGAGCAGACCGGGTAGCCTGGTTTTGAGGTAAGTAGTTTAGGTAGTGCAGTGGCTGGGAGCTGGTATACTGGGGGTCTGATCCCCATGCAGGAACCAGCTCTGTATGACCTTGGACAAATCCCTGCCTTCTCTAGTCTTCAGCTCCCTCATCTGTAAAATGAAGATGATGGCTTTGACTCCTTCCAGCAGTAGCAGAAAGACCAGGAATTCTAATTCTTTTTTGATTATTGACAGTATTACAGGTGTCCCCCATTCTCCCCTCTGCCTCCCAGGAATTCTAATTCTTTTTTGATTATTGACAGTATTACAGGTGTCCCCCATTCTCCCCTCTACCTCCCAGGAATTCTAATTCTTTTTTGATTATTGACAGTATTACAGGTGTCCCCCATTCTCCCCTCTACCTCCCAGGAATTCTAATTCTTTTTTGATTATTGACAGTATTACAGGTGTCCCCCATTCTCCCCTCTACCTCCCAGGAATTCTAATTCTTTTTTGATTATTGACAGTATTACAGGTGTCCCCCATTCTCCCCTCTACCTCCCAGGAATTCTAATTCTTTTTTGATTATTGACAGTATTACAGGTGTCCCCCATTCTCCCCTCTACCTCCCAGGAATTCTAATTCTTTTTTGATTATTGACAGTATTACAGGTGTCCCCCATTCTCCCCTCTACCTCCCAGGAATTCTAATTCTTTTTTGATTATTGACAGTATTACAGGTGTCCCCCATTCTCCCCTCTACCTCCCAGGAATTCTAATTCTTTTTTGATTATTGACAGTATTACAGGTGTCCCCCATTCTCCCCTCTACCTCCCAGGAATTCTAATTCTTTTTTGATTATTGACAGTATTACAGGTGTCCCCCATTCTCCCCTCTACCTCCCAGGAATTCTAATTCTTTTTTGATTATTGACAGTATTACAGGTGTCCCCCATTCTCCCCTCTACCTCCCAGGAATTCTAATTCTTTTTTGATTATTGACAGTATTACAGGTGTCCCCCATTCTCCCCTCTCCCTCTCAGGAATTCTAATTCTTAATGCTTTGGTGCCCATTGCTCTCATACTCTTCACCCACCAATCCTCCAGGCTGTCAGCTGGTCTCATAAAATAGCTGGGGTATATGCCCATTCACACCAAAGCTGAGGTCACAAGTTGGCAGCCCAGTGGTCTCTTTGGTCTACACAGTATTTAAAAATGTTTCAATTACACTTGGCTCTCCTCTTATTTGAAGGTGTGGAGTCAACAAAGTGCAGATTGAAAATATTCAGAAAAAAACTTACATCATTATTGATGTATACTATGTAGTTAAGTCTGTGATGGTGGCTTTGGTTGGGTCTGCACGCAATATGTACAGACTTTTTTTGTCATTATTCCATAAACAGTACAGTAGGACAATTATTTACATAGCAGTTACACTGTGTTAGGTATTGTAAGTAATCTAGAAATGGTTTAAAGTATATTATGCTATTTTATATAAGGGACTTGAGCATCCTCAGGTTTTGGTTATCCATGGGGGGAGAGACGCTGGAACCAATCCCCCATGGATATTGAAGGATGACTGTAGTTGCCAACATTAAAAAATCAGGATGTTTCATGTATGAATCCTGTTGTTTTTTCGTTATAAAATCTGGAGACTGTGGACTTGACTTCCTGAGCAGCAATTGATTGGAGCCAATTAATGACTCCCGTAAATCAGGCCCCCTCTCTGATCTGCCATGGCCCCCACTTGGCCCACTTCTTTTTTGTTGCCTTCAGGCCCCTGGAGGCAGCTGAGTGTGTGACCTCTCCTCTAAAGTTTAAGGGACTCCAAGTTAGTTCCTCAGGTGCTTCTTGGGTAACCTGATTTCAAAGCAGGACCCAGGATGGAGTTGCCAGTAATTAGCACACATGTATCCATATGGGTGAGAGAGAACTCAATAGAATTTATCTACTATCCCTCTGACTACAGACATTTCACCCAAGTTCCCTCTCCCTTTTGCATCCCCCAGTACATCACGCTATCCGAACCTGCTCATACCACTCCTGAACTACCAGTTCTGTCTTGCAGGTGGGCAAGGGCACAGGTGATAAACTCAGGCCCTCCCAAGTTGGTTCCTGAGCTGGAAGTTCCAGCCTGTACTGAAGGCACCTTCTGTGGGGAAAGTGAAGGTGGCCTTGGTACAAGACGGCAGGTGATGGGCAGTGGGTGTCCTCGGGAGGGCAAGAGTTGGGTGGCTACGACTGGATGTGCCATACTTGGAGGAGCATGCTTTTCCTTACCTCGTCAGGCTAGAGGGACCCCTGGGGTCAAGACAGGGACTGCTGGTGACGGATGGGACCACTAGAGTGGCAGACATCAGCTTAGAATCCTTGAAGAAATGCCCTTCCTGACTACTAAAGGTTACACCTCTGACCTGTACTAAGGGTGACCAGCCATGGAAAGGCCACTGCGCTCAGGTTTTCTACTTAAGACCATCAGGAGGCACACTGAAGGGCGGTTTCCACTCTCTTACCAGTGATAATCACACAAACCATCTGTGTTCCTTCTCACACGTGTACAGCCGAATTTTAAGCCCATGCATCCATTTCATCACTTAGAGGAATTGTGTCCAATTCCAATATAGATTCTGACGACTCTCGCAGATTTTATTTTAAAAAATTTTTTACTCCTCACCCAAGGATATGTTTTTCGTTGATTTTTTTAAACCGCCTCTTACACATGACTTTATTGTTATTTTCTTTTCTTAATCCTCACCTGAGGATATTTTTTCCATTGCTTTTCAGAGAAGAGTAGAAGGGAGGGAGCCAAAGAGACACACGACTGGTTGCCTCCCACAGGCTCACCCCCTACAGGGGCCGGATCAGCCTGCAGCCGAGGTGCAGGCCCTTGACCAGATCAACCCCAAACCCTCAGGCCAGGCCCTTGACCAGATCAACCCCAAACCCTCAGGCCGCAGGCTGAGCTCCAGCCACCAAGCCAAGCCGGCCGGGGCCCCTACACGTGACTGTTAGGGAAAGACTCCTAAAACCCCGGCTGGGAGCGGGAGGGCTCTTCATTATTAAAGTGATGCTGTATCCCACCTGACGGGCCTGCCACCCTCCTCCAAGCTACAATAGCGGTTATCGAACTTCGGCAGGACTCATCTGGGGCGCACGTTAAACATGCAGCCTCCGGGGCCCCTTCCTCCAGAGACTGACACAGTGGCTCGGGGCGAGCCCAGCAAGCTCCTCAGGGGCCTGTGAGGCGCACTGCGCCCCCTCGCCCCTGACGTTCTCTCGAAAGGCAAGCAACCCCGGAAGGCCGAATGTCAACTGTTCTTTCGGGAGCCCCGGGGCTGTGCGGAACAGGTAGGCGAGGGATGACGTTTGGGAGCCGCGGTAGAGGGGCGGGGAATCAGGCGAAGTGCAGGGGTCAGCGAGCCGCCGGGCAGAGGGTGCTCGGTCGCGGGCCCAAACCCCCCTGGACCTCGCGCGCCCTCGGCAGCGCGCAGGCGCAAAGCGGGACCAGCGCAGCGCACTGCAAGCTGGTAGCCGAGGTTGGAACTGTGGGCGGGGCCGAGGCTCCCTTTGACCCCGCCCCCCAGGTTTCTCCGCGTTGGGAGTAGCGCCCCTCTCCCGGGAGGCGTGGCACAGACCTTCCCCGCTTGCATCTCGCATTCGGGAGACCCCTCGTCGAGGCCAGGAAACTTCGCGCCAGGAACTCCGACTCGTCGACGACTGAGGCCCAGTGAGACGCCGACACGTCAGAACCCACGCTTACGTCTCCGTCAAGCCAGGGATTGGACTGGAATCATCTTCCCGTCTCTCCTAGCTCGCCCCGCCCCCCGTCCCGGCGCTGCTGGGAACTGCAGTTCTTTGAGCCCTTTTTCTCCCCGGCCCGGCGGCCCGCCCGGCCCTCGCGGTCCGTCATGCTCTGCGCCACTAGCCGCCTCCTAGCGGCCGGGGAGGCCACTGCGCTCCCCGCCCAGCTCAGAGGCCGAGGTCTGCGCCCCGCCGCCGGCGCGGGGAACATTTCCCAGGGCACCCCGAGCTGCCCCTTTGTGGTTTCTTGGCAGGACCGCTAGCAAGACCTGGCGTGCCTAAGGGCCGGAGGGCGATCCTGAGGAGGGGAAGGATGCCGTCGGCGGTGGGGGGAGACCTGGCCGGGTCCGAGCTACGTTCCAGGAGGGGCCGCTGTGGGTCCCAGGCTGCTAGGGCCGCAGGCCCGGAGGGCACCGCCACGGTTGCAGCACGGAGCCCCAAACGGCCCGTCCCGGGCCCACGGCTTTTCGAGGGGGCCTGTCGCTGGGCCCTGCTGGCCCTGGTGACGCTGCTGTCCTTCGCCACCCGCTTCCACCGCCTGGACCAGCCGCCGCACGTCTGGTGAGTGACGGGCGAGACTCGGCGGGCACCACGGTAACCTAGAGGGAGGAACGCGTCCTCTGATTGGCCCTGGGGTACGGAGGGGGCGGATTCATAGGAAGAGGGGCGGAGTCGCATTGGAGGGGAAACTGAGGTTTCTGGTGTTTGCCCCTGGCTTTCAAATTGTGGTTCTTAAAGGTTCTTTGAACTTTCCAAGGAGAACCAGGAATTCTTAGTACTGAATTTCCCAAGGTCTGAGTTCCTAATCTACAGAATTTCCAAGCATCAGTGGAAGGGAAAATTCTTAACTAGGTACCTTCACCCTTGGAAGCAGGGACAACTTGGGTGTCCAGGGTTGATGACAGGGGTACCAGGAATCGGGTCTGGGATCATCCTGTGAAGAGAGGTTTATNGTACCAGGACAACTTGATGACAGGGGTACCAGGAATCGGGTCTGGGATCATCCTGTGAAGAGAGGTTTATTTTCTGAAAGGTCTTAGTTTGTAGAGTCAGGTGCAGGACTGAGGTATGGTCATTATTTCATTAGATAAGCTTAAGAAGTCATCAGCTGGAAGGAGGAAAAGTTTTATACAATCTGAAAATGGTTAATTTGTTTGGCCAACAAGTGGTACCATATTTTGTCATTATCACTGAGGAGAAAGTTAGTGTAGGGGACGTTAGAAATGGAACTCCTTGACTAAAAAGCAAGCAAGCTAATAAACTGTCAGGGCTACCCTACTTGGAAGTTAATAAATTAGCTTCTTGCTGTTTCATGAATCTTGGCAGAAGACATGAGACTCCTGGGTCAGAGACAAAGGACCCATTACCACAGCACAGGAAGCAGGATGAACATTGGTACGCTGGAGTCACTTTCCCTTGTCCCCCCAAGTCCCACAGGGTGATATTATGGGCCCAGATGGATGACTGCACACATAGTGGGTTTCTTTGCAGCTTTGAGGAACACCAGCTTGGAGAATCTGCTGTTTTATATCAAGCAGTAAGCAAGCTTACTCTTTGTATTGGAGAGAGACATTACCTCATTTTTCAAGGTTACTTGGTGTAAACACAACTCTGAGAAATGGCTCAGGTAAAGTACAGTCAGGGCCTGGCATACCCAGCAAGATGTGTGGAAGTACAAGAGACACATGGAGGACTGTCTCTCTGCCAACAGTCTCACTCCTCGATCCTACACTGTCTTGGTTTCTAGCAAATTCTAACATGAATATGCAACGCCATTAGCTAGTCTGATTAACCTGGCTGACACGCAGGGACCAAATCTATTCAATTTGTCTCATACAACATTTAATTAAGGCTGCTTTCAACGGGACTCTAAGCAGCAGGATAAGGACAACCTGTAGTGTTAACCTCAGCCATGCTCCCCAGGATCCTGTATCCAACCACCTATGAATAATTATGTGTGGGGTCAAGGGGTGGGGAAAGGACCAGTAGGTCTTATTTCAGATCGCTGGGATATAGTGTAAGAACAATGTATTATCCATTATGATCTCTGCACAGGTGTTTAGACTGACCTCTAATCTTTGGTGTCATTGCCAATAATTATAGTGGGTCCCCTGTTAAAAAAAAGCAACTCCCATGCCCAATGGGAAGAAATTCTGTGGCCCATTCTTCCTACATCCTTATGTATTACCTGAAGGGGTGCAGGTCACTCCAGTTTAGGAATTTTTGTAAAATTTTATTTGGATCACCATCAAATTTAATTTAGATCACATTACAGTATTTTGGTTAAGCCACATGGGTAGTGAGTATCACTGAGTTGCTGCAGCCTCAGTCATTATACAAGGCATAACCTAAGGCCTCTAGGGTGTCAGGAGCATATGAATTTGTATTAGTCAGGTTGATAGAAGGTTGTGCCAGTCTGTGTGTTTGCACACATATGAAGAAGTCTGTGTTTGGGAGTTGATGTTGATATCAGACACATCAGAATAGCTCGAGGCTGGCCACGTCTATGTGAGTTTTTCTGATTTCATAGCATGCTGACAAACTCAGTACAAAGTCACATTGCCAGCTACAGCTGCCACTTGATTTAGGTGTACCATATGAATGTTTTGCCAGGCTTTAGTGCCGGACCTAGAGGACAAAGAGAGCATTAACTGTTTCCCTTTTCTTTACATTAGCAGAGGTCTAAGCTGTTACCCCCCCAGCTGCCAGAGTTATTTCTTTCCTTCCACTGCCATGTAATCAGTGTATCACACTTTAGTACCTGTAACTTAACTTCACCTTTTCTCCAGTTATCCCCTACTAGTATCCAGGCCTTTTTGCTAAGGCTATTATTAGAAAATTGGCAGAGACTATTCTTTCCCACCTTGACCCATATGAGCCACTGTAGGGGGACTTGACAAGCAGTGTACTCAACCAGGTAGTCATTATCTTTATGCTATAGGGCCATGTCACTCCAACTTCAGGTGACTGAATTAGAATTAAGTCTGAATCCCATAGACGTCCCCAGGCTGATCTGAAGTTGCTGGTAGGGAAAGAAAGACAAATTGTGCCCAAGAATGTTTTGAGAAGAATCTCAGATTTTCAAAATAGGTTTATACAACCCTCTACCCCTTTTATCCTTATTATTACCCAGTTGGTGGCCAAGAGGAGATGAACCCTTTTTGGTGCCGACTGCATTAGGTGACCAAGCTGCTTTACTAAGGTGTGTGCACTCCAGCAGCCACACCATCTTTAAAGCTGTGATTTCCTTTTCTCTTCTTGGGATTTATATTATTTCTCCCTGACCAAGGAGGGGACAGTATAAACTCTCAGCATGTGGCAGTCCCTGAATGGGATAATCCTCCTTGACACTTATGGGATCAATACCAGTTATATGTTCAGCAGTGGAAGCCACAATAATGGTAAAGAGCCCTACCCACAAGGTCACATTACCTTCACTTTCCCACTGGGAACTTGGCTCAGACCCTGTCAGCTGAATTTGGGTATTAGTGGTGACAGCCACCCAGAGATCATCCCATTCCCCCGTTGGGAGTATGGGCAGTGCTTCCAGGGGGTGGAAGGAGGCTTGGCTCCACTTCCTGCCTAGTGCATTTCCATGTGTCTAGTGAGCCTCGGGACTTAGGGGCCCTTTTCTTTCTAGTTTTTATTTATTTATTTATTTATTTATTTATTTATTTATTTATTTATTTATTTATTTATTTATTTTAATCCTTGCCCAAGGACATGCCTAAAGAGAGAGAGAAAGAGAAAGAAAGAGAGACGTTTGCTCCCTGACCGGGGATCAAACCCCCAACCCAGGTATGTGCCCGGACCTGGAATCAAACCGGCAACATTTCGGTGCATGGGATGGTTCTCCAACCAACTGAGCCGCTCCAGCCAGGCAGGGGCCCTTTTCTTTCAGCCCTGTACACGTTGTATGGCTCTCGTGCACTCCTCAGCACCTTTGTTAATCCCTGCACCTCCTCCCATAGGACTGAGAAGGGTTGAGATGTGGGCTCCTGATTCCAATAGAGTCCTGAGTTTGAGTCCCTCTCCTCCCTGGAGTTGCCCAGCATGGTAGGATGAGTGTGTATGGCCTTCATCCCCCTTTGGGGACAGTGAGGCCTTGGCCTGCCTTTAATCATCTTACTCTTTAAAGCAGCTGAGATTGTGGTGTAGGGGAAGGGATCATGGGACACAGAGGTAGAAAATGGCTCTGGCCTCTAAAGCAAGGAACATTTTACTTTAGGCTTGAGGACACAGCTCACCCAAGGATCTTTCAATGTTTTTATTTCACCCAAAGTTCTATAGAGAGCAGCAAGGTTCTTACTGCTGGCACCATTTATGTCAGCTTTAGACACTCCTTGATTCAGCAGCCACATGCATATGCTTTTTGGCCGGGGCTCCTAGGTTTGCTGCCCCGTTGTCATGATTATATCTCTTCCTCCTTCCACACAGAAGAGAGTGAGTAGTAACCAAGGCAGCTCTTAGATGGTTTGTTTCAGTCCTCTCCACTCAGCCTCATTAACAGATAGGACAGTGGGGGACTTTTACTACCTTCCTTGCCTGCTACTGGGCAAGAGCGTTCACTACCAGATTCTGGGGAGTCTTCTCATACCCTCTAACCCATCCTGTGGGGGTCCTTGTCCTTTCCCTTACAGAAAGCTGTGTGTTGGCAGCATCCTATGCTTGTTACCAAAAGCTGTCAGGATCTGGGATTTTATGCTACCCTACTTGCCAGCTAACAAGTTAGTCTGTCACTGTCTCATGGATGCTGGCAGAAGAAGACCAAGTCCTGGGTCAGAGACAAAGGACTTATTTCTCATGGCACAGAAAGCAGGATGAGCATCAACACATTGGCATCGGTTCCCCTTGCCCCCAATCCCATGTGATGTCATGGGTCTGGGTGAATGCCTGCATGTGCACTGGGCTGCATCAGCTGAGGAATTTTGAGCTTGGAGACTCTGCTGTGTTATAATAAGCAGGAAACAGACTGCTGTCTGTTACAGAGGGAGATGCTAATTCTTCCCTCAAGGTTGCTTGCTTAAACATAACCCTGAGAAATGGCCCGAGTAAAGAGTGGTCAGGACCTTGCATTCTTGGCATACCCTGCAAGGTCTGTGGGAACAAGAGAGAGCCCAAGAGGACTGTCTCTCCCAACACAATGCAGTAAAAGCTAAGAGGAAATGTGAATACTACAATAGCAGGTCCTCGATTAATGTTGATTAACATAATTTTGTTCAGTGTAGTTTTGTTAGAACATCCAGATGTTCTAACTTAAATTTTATTTATATCAATTATTCTATGGTAAAATTGTTTTGTTATATGTCATTTTGCTTAAAGTCACAGAACCTGTGGATGACGTTAAGTATGGACTTACTGTACTGGTTTTATTTGGGAAGTTTTTGAAATGAACATTTCATACCCTTTTGTCAGTGTGCTTCCAAACAGACTTCAGAGCTAACCCCAGATGTTGGTTCAGTTTAAATAGTGCCCAGAATGTGTGGGACTTTATAGTCTATAGAGTTCTTTCACATGTGTCATCTGAATTGAGTGCTGATACCTCCCTGCGAGGGGGACCTAGCAGGTGCTGTTATTGTCTTCATTGCGTAGATGAGAAGGGATATGGAGATGGTGAGTGATTTTGCAGGTCATGCTGTTAGGAAGTGCTGGCAGTGGCACTGGATCTCTTTCTGCAGATCTGTGTTGTAATACTGCTTGGAAGTTATTTCTCCCTTTGACATCACCATTTCTGGGAAAAGCATGTTTTGCCCATTATGTTGTAGGTCAGTAGTAAATAGTTATGGGAGCTGACCTGGAGATTGGATAGTCACTGAAAAGCAACCATTCTTCTGAGCTGCAGAGAGAGACCGACAAACAGCAATGGGCAGGCTCTGCTGGATAACTGGGCTGCCACTGCAAAGCCCTCGTATAGGGTGTAAACAGTTTTATGGGGTTGTATAGAAGAATAAGACTTTGCATTGTGTTTAAAAGATAATGTGTTAGAATCACTTATTTACTTGCAAAATTATTTGTGCAGTGAGACTAGATTTTAGTTAGGCTCTGAACTTAGTAAGAAAGCCCTCAACTTTTATATAATAGTTCATTATAATAAGGCCAGTGAGTTCATAGTCAGCAGGTTAATTATCACAGGATTATGAACAAAACCAGACTTCTGTGACAACCATGGTTTTCTTTGATCTCTGACAAGGAGCCCATGATGTAGTTTGTGATAATAGTGATGTAGTCTCTAGGTGCAAATGTAGTCTCAGAGTTAGAAGTTAGCAGCCTTGGAAGAAAACCCTTACTACAAACCTTTCAACAGTATAGGAAAACTCTTTGCCTTTTAAAAATAAATAGAAACTCAAGATACAGTATAGATTTAACTTAAGTTTGTGATAACTGGTTGATAAATATTTTCTAACTTTTCCCTGTTTTCTCTGACTCTTATCTAAATGAAGATTAATGACAAGCTTGATGTCTTGCTTCCTCAAATTACTTATGACAAATGCTATTTTAAAATTAATTAAAAATTTTCATTAATTGCTTGAAATTCATAGTCTTTGGTTTTAACTGTAATTTTAACCATGCTTTATTAAGGCTATTTGGGTTATATGATAATTATAAAATTGTCACTTCTCTTTGTTTTTCTTTTAGTTGGGATGAGACTCACTTTGGAAAAATGGGAAGTTATTATATCAACCGTACCTTTTTCTTTGATGTGCACCCACCTCTGGGAAAGGTGAGCAGTGTGGTGAACAAGAGCCAAGGCTTGGTTTTGGATGTAATTCTTGGCCTTTTAGAAAGAATTCCCTGACATTCCAATCCAGTTGCTTTCATGGGAAATCTTTGGTGTTTTTTGGAGTCCTCTGGGCTCAGAAATGAAGAGAGCGTCCATCAACTGATCGATGGATAAGCAAACTGTGGTATATCTATACAATGGAATATTATTCAGCTGTAAAAATGGAATGAAGAATTGATATATGCTACAACATGGATGAATCTTGCAAACATCATGCTAAGTGAAAGAAGCCAGACACAAAAGGCCACATATTGTATGAGTCCATTGATATGAAATGTCCAGAATTGGCCAATCCATAGAGACAGAAAGAAGATTAGTAGTGGCCAGGGTCAGGGGGAAGGGAGGACCCCACAAGCAGTGTTGCTGGGAGGGGCTCTCCCTCCACACAGTCTAACCAGGACACGTGGGTCAGGCTGGGGCAGCCTGGGGCTGTTACAGATGCTCGGTATTTGCTGACAGATAGTTTTTATGTTTTAGCTGCTTCTCATTGCTTGTGTGAAAGGAATTTAACACTGTTGATGGCCAAAGAAAGAAAGAGGCTGATCCTCTTGAATGTTTTGAAGGATTCACATCTCAGTTTATTGTTGATTTGCTCTGGTTTGGGATGTGCTGAGGTTGCCTCCCTTTGGAATACTGGAAAAAGGAGAAGCCAGTCTCTGACCTTTTGGCATATTTCCACTGGGATTTTCTCTTGCCCTCTGGGGAAATGCAGCTGTCTTTCCTCTTTTCCATTTTCTTCCTGGTGTGTAGAAATTTGGCCACTGTTCTCCCTCCTCACTCTGTCCAGGAGCCTCATCTTCCTTTCAGTGGGCCAGTCTCCTAGGAATCAGCCTTGCCCATGGCCTCCCCCGTAAGCTGTCAGGTTTGACTTCACAGCAAATGAAAGCCCGTCACTGGCCCTGCCCTTCAGCTTGTGGGAGTTTTTTCTTCCGAAGTGTCCAGTCTTCATTGTTCCCAAGAACTTGGCCTTGACACAAGAGAGGATTTGTTTCAAGCAATGAGCTGTATAGACAAAAGATTCTTTGCTTTGCAACAGCTGCAGGAGAAAATGTCACATTGTCAACTCCTTCTATGAACAGTTGTCAAGGGAAGCCAAAGTGTGGGTGCAGCTGGAGGGAAGTTCAGGGGATGGAGGGATCTCCTCTCAAAGGTCTCTCATTGTTTTTGTTTGTTTTCTTTCTCTCAGATGCTGATAGGTCTTGCTGGCTACCTGAGTGGATATGATGGGACCTTTATGTTCCAGAAGCCTGGGGACAAATACGAGCATCACAACTACATGGGGATGAGAGGAGTAAGGTTTCCTGACTTGATATAGCCTCACTGAACCCTGGGGCCGCACTCAGTCACAGATGTTACAGTTGGAAGCCCCAAAGTGGTGGCAGGTGTAGGTACACGGACTTTGGGGAGTGGAGAGGTTGACTGGACCCATACTCTGTTGTAGAAAGTCAGGTGTAGAGACTCAGAACTGGTGTGCGTAAGAAGGGAAGGAGAGGTCACAGGTAATGTGGAGATTACGTAGATAGGAGGAAGCCCATCTGGTCACCTGTTACCCTAACCATGTGAGGCATCTGACTGCAGGTTGGAGAGCAGCCTAGGACCCAGACAGCTGGGAGTTTCCTGTAGTTCCAACACTGGCCTCAGCACATTGGCAAACTACATGTTCTAGTCCTCTCTCAGACCACAATTGCTGGAGTATTGCTTATCTCTCAGGGCCTTTTCTTAAGATTTCAGCATCCCCACACTCCTGTCACCAGGTTCCTATTTCTTTCCTGTGAAGGTTTAGGCACACACGGGTGTTCCAGTCTCTGAAGGGAGGCCATGTGTTTGCCCGCTCCCTTGGTGCCCTGAGTCCCAGCACCAGCCTTGATGGAGCATGGCAGGGCCTGAATACCCAACTCTGGGGACCCCATACCTGTAGCTGGATGAAACCTGAAGAAACTGATCTTCAACATGGAGCTCTAAAAGCAGGTTGCATTTACAAACCCCTTTCCTTGAGGAGCTCAAATACTTTAGATAAATGCAAAGTACTTATTTGGCTAATCGTTGGATAATTCGCATGGTCATGTTATACCATATTAAACAAGGAGTGTTCCATACCCCCAAGTTCATATTCTAAGTGATCTTGTGTCTTCTTAGTGACTTTTGAACACTACATGGCATGCATAATTGGATAGGGGCCTAATGCATTGTGAACTTGCTGGGGGAATTGAGAAGGCCAAATATAACAGCCTGTTCCCTTTTACACTAGGGCACATTGCTTTCTGTTGACAAAAAGTGACAACCCAAATGTGAGAATTTCCATTCCCCTAGGCTTGTCTATTTACTTTTGATGGACGGGGTAGGGAGATACAGAGAAGGCTTGTGGTTAAAAACAAAAAAAAACAACCCTCAGGTATTAAAGCGTGAAGCAATCTTTTTTCCAAAATTAAAATACAACCTGTAGATTAACGGGTGATTCCTGGTATGATTGAAGAAAAGGGCCAAGGGAGAAATAACATTAGAGTTTCTACAATATTAAAACACCTTCAGAGAGGTCTTTCTTAACTTGTACCCACAGTTTTGTAATAGAAGCTAATGTTTATTGAGCACTTCCTGGGTGTTAATAAACTTTAAGTCATTGAATCTTTAGAGTAAACCCTTCGAGGCAGGAACTCTTATTCTTCATGTTACACAGGTGGGGAGGCTGAGATACAGAGAGAGATGTAGCTTTCTCAGGGTCGCAGCTCGCAGTGGTGGGGCAGTCCAACCCCAGCCTCTCCCACTTGGAACCAGTGTGCCGTCCTGCCTGCACCTTTCTGGCTGAACTTTGCTGTCTGCGCACAAGTCTGTGCTCTGAGAACATAAACGTTGTTTGGCTTGATGCTTCATGGTCACACCGCCCTTTTCTCATTTACACATATTCCAGGTGATTTTAGGTCACCATGTCATGCCCTCCTTAAGGTCCTGTATCTTAAAGCTGAGCTTGTACCCAGTCAAGTAGATCTCCGGGGCTTGGCTTAGCTGTTTTTTTGACAGCTTCTCTTTTCCTCCCATAGTTCTGTGCGTTCCTCGGTTCCTTGCTGATCCCCTTTGCCTACCTCACTGTACTGGAGCTGTCCAAGTCCCTCCCGGCAGCACTGCTCAGCGCTGCCCTCCTCATCTTTGGTAAGTTGTCTTATACCACGTTTCTTGGGAACCTGACTGCTGCACTATGAATGTAGCTAGAAATCAACATGTTCAAAGATCTGTCTATGGGTCAAGTTCTTAAGTAACTTTAGGACTGAGTAAATATATCACTGATCTTATTTTATTCACTAGTAACATATGTATATTTGTATGTAGCAAGTCTTTACATTATTGGAAGGGAGAGTTGGCATAGATGATCCCTAGTTGCCCACATTTGAGTTTAGATTAGATAAGATAAATTTGTGTGTGTGCGTGTTTGTGTGTGTGTGTGAGAGAGAGAAACAGGCTTACAATTTGAATTTTGCTTCTCTTAGGTTACTGTCAAGATTAGTTTGTACTCCTTAAACTAACTTTAGCTGAATGTAAGGGCAGATGTCTCAGAAGTAGCTCAGTAGCAGGGGCTAGCAAAATGGGAACTTACATTTTCTGTGGATAATCCCCATGTAGATAAATGAGAGCTGATTCATAGAAATTGATCCTGTTGCTAGCCTTGCTCTTCCGAAAGTGAATTCATGACCTTATAGAGCTTAACATTTAAAGAAACCCAGACCACTTTAGGTGGGTATTTTATGGGCGATTCTGGCCTTGTTTTGTTAGATATGTTGCAAGATTATAGGCCTCTTTGTAGCGGATTGGTGGCTTTTTCCTTGTGTCTTTAATTTCCCTTTCAGTTATTCATTCAGTCATTTATTCATTTTTTCATTCAACTATTTTTAAAGCATCTCCTCTGTGCTAGGCCACTTTTCTTGGCTTCAGAGGATGAGACACTCTATCTTGGAGCTTACTCACTAGTGGGGCAGACAGTAAATACCGAAGTCTATAATGAAACATCATCCTAAGCAATAAGTGCAATGCAGAGAATAGAGTAGGGTAAAGAGTAGAGTCACGGGGAGTTTTAGGTAGGGTGGTCAGTGAAGAGCTCCCTGAGGAGGTGGCCTTGAGCAGAGACATGAGGGAAGCAAAAGATTAAGCCATGCAGATATGTGAGGGAAGAGTGTTCAGGCAGAGGGAACAGCATGTGTGAGTGTCCTGGTAGATTCAAGGAACAGCCAGAAGGCCAGTGGGGCCAGAGTGAAGTAAGGCAGGGGGTTGGGAGAGGAGGTTGGATAGTCAGGGAGACCGGGCAGACTTCGGCAGTGTCATGAGGGGTTGGTTAGTCTGAGCGAGAAGGAAAGACATTGGAGAGTTTAAGCGGGAGCATGATGTGATGGAGTTTGTTTCAAAAAATGGCTTTGGCACCTGGATGTAAAATGTACTTCATGTAAAACGGTAAGTCCCTGTGCTAGTTGTAGTCGTTTGTGGCTGCATAAGCAAGGGGGCAGAACTCCCTTTTTGATCGTGGAGGTGAGCAAGAGCCCTCGTCTCAGCACTGCCCTATCAAATGAATGGCATGATCCCTCCTTGGGTCAAGGGCCTGGAAGCGGTGGGAGATACTGTTTATTTTATTTTAATCCTCACCCAAGGATATTTTTCCATTGCCTTTCAGAGAGAGTGGGAGGGAGGGAGGGAGGACGGGAGAGAAACATCAGTGTGAGAGAGACTCATCAACTGGTTGACTCCTGCACGTGCCCCAACTTGTT